TCAGCGTATTTAAGCTAAAACATTTGCTTCATTGCTTGTGGGATGTAAAAGCTTGTTGCACATGCGCACTTTTTACGCTTTAATCGGTTACGCATGCGCAATCTATCATTTAACGTACCATAACAAACACGCTAAATATATTAGTATAAATTTGGAGACTGCACGTGCGTAATTTAAATGATGCGGCAACTCAGGGATCGGATGATAGACTATTGACGGCTCTGAGCTAACTGTTGCTGTTCCTTGCACGATTATGTGCGTGAGGCACTTGCATAATGCGTAGTCGTCAGGGAGACAAAGGTGTGACCCTTGGTAACGGGCGATTAGTTCTAATCGCCCGCTCTAGCGGGCGATTAGAACTAATCGCCCGCTACAGCGGGCGATACGTGATTAAACGTCCCTGTTGAAACAAAAGAAACCCGGGCAACTATGCTATTACTATACTTAACCCACGGGTGCGTAAACAGAATAGAGTTATTTATTCAGCCATTCAGGTCTCGTTTTTCAATACACCCCGTATTCCGTGGGTTCAGCATAATGCTTAAGCCTGCCGCACACGAGAGCTATGTGCTGAGCAAAAAGTTACTCGTGCCTGTTAGCTCAGCCGATAGCTCACCGTGTGCGGGTACAATTTACTGAGTTTTTTGCCTCATGCAACCTTTTCTCACGTATCAAACATGTTTGATCGCTGAGCTATCGGCTGAGCTAACAGGCACGAGTAACTTTTTGCTCAGCACATAGCTCTCGTGTGCGGCAGGCTTAAGGCATTCAAAGTATTACAATAGGAACATTTCAAAAGGTGTACTTTTTTCCGAACACCCTGTATTTGAACGCTATACTGTACCAAACTGGAACCTACTTTTAGGGCTCATAATTTTCGGCAAAAGATCATACAATATAAACGGAAAAATAACGAATCTTTTTTTACCTTACATAATTATATTATGTTCATTAGGATGTGTTGCCGTGTGAAGCAATATGTCTTCAAGGCTGATAAGGCATACAAGATAAATCCTGAAGTTTCCATAGTAGTTACAATCTTACAGGATTAAAAACAATGCACGCTACATGTCTATGAATATTTTTGTTCCTTACTGTTCCGCTGTAATTTAGGTATTGAGGCAGTATAGATTAATTAGGTATTCAATCATTTCAATAATCAGGTAATTCAATTAGTGTGTGTGTGTGGGGGGGGGGGGGAGTGACACCCACTCCCTAAAGTCTAAAATGGTATGATACTCGGGGAAATTTTGCTAAGTGTCGGGCAAATTTTCTGTTTTCGTTCGTGGGCGCGGTTTTGGTTGGTGACCAGGCCCTTTTGATGGACAAGAAGTTGGCACGTTGCGCCCCTGCGCACTAAGGTCTATGTACAAAGCAAAGACAGTTCTGTGCAACTGCACCATGACTGGAGAAGTTAGGGAGAAAGGGAAGCTATCTAGCCATAGTCTGAGAGGCTAACACAAATTCAAAATGAATCCTTCAAAATTAGTTGAATTAAGAATTCTGCAGTGATGCTACAATCATGGCAAAAATTTCGTGAACACGAAAGTGGGTAGTTTCGCGAACTATAAAGTATTGTACTATTCATGTACTACACTTATTGGTATCTGTTTTGTAAGTATATGATTGGGCAAGATAGGTATTTCTATTTAAGGCACGCGCTGTCCACAATAATATTTTCCTGCATTGTAGCTATCTAAACTTACATGTAGATCACGGACTACCAATTCCATTATAAATCAGTCCTCTACAAACTTTTTAAAGAGCCATAAACTGGAAAAATTAATTTTAGTTATTCCAGTGTCGGCGTGTCTCGCTTTAATAATACAGTGGTCATGGATTTATAGGAGGGATCCACAGGGGTGTGCACCCGCAAAAAATTAAACAAAATCTTACTTTCAAATGTTTGAGGTATTCAAAGTTTGTTATCAGTCTTTATAGACTAACTTAAGTTTTGGAATTCAAGGCAGCACCACAGCACTAGTTCAAAATACTAAGTCCAATATTAATATTTTTTAGTTTGATACTTTGATTGAATAAAGCAAGTTCTTAATTTTGCTGCAAACGTCTAACATTACAAGTATTTGATAATGAAAATAAAAATTGTTCAAATGTGAAAAATTTCCATCTGCTCTTTTTCGCACAATCACAGTATATCAAGAGAATCGGGCATTCATATATAATGATTAAATTACATTTATTCAACATATCTGTAAATTGTAACCACGAAACTACCAAGTGCACTTTCATGACAGTACACACCCCTAAAAAACCTTGCTGGATCCACTACTGTAATAATATACGTACCATTTCTGGTAAAATGATTACGTCCGATTGTATCAACAAATAGTCTCCCAAACGGAATGATGTTGAATGTCCAGTAGTGTATTAAGTTGTTTAATATTCCTTCATTTGACGGGAATGACGTATCTAGTGGAAATAAAGAAGATGTTTTATCTGAACAGTTTAAAAAATATTGGCTGAATTCAGGCCTTAAAATATAGGCTATTTTACAGGGCCGTCAGTGCCGTCTGACAAAATGTCCGATGATTTTGAGTTGGACATACAGTATACATGATGATGTCCGATGACCTTCAGTTCAGTTTAGCTCGGAAGTAAGTCTTAATGACGCAAATTAATATCAGCACTCGTCAGTGTATTAATTCTGAAATACATGTTGTGAAGATATTAAATAGTTTGTGTCATCCAAACTTATTTCCAAGCCAAGATTAACTTGCTTGCCAATAATAGCAGTACTTCGATAACTTAAACCTGCCGCAGTGCGAGAGCAACTTGCTGAGTTAACCGCCTCGCGTGGCAGCTAGCTCAGCAAGTTTCTCTCGTGTGCGGATAGTTTTCGTGAGGATTTAACCTTTGAAAGCCTTGAGGAAAACATCTATCGTTTTTGATATTTTTCACCTCGCGAGGAAAAATCTCTGGGCTGCTTGAATCAATTCAATGAGAAACCATAGTTTCTTCATGTGACTTTGAACAAATGCAATGAAGGAAAATGCAAATGATTTTGTCAATTATGTTTTTGTTGAGTAGTTTTCCCAACGTGTGCGGTGAAAATACATAGCTCAGCTAGCTGCCATGCACGCGAGGGGGTTAGCTCAGCAAGTTTCTCTCGTGTGCGGCAGGCATAGGCGTACGGGCACATAATTTTTGGGGGAGCTGGGCTGAATTTGCCCGAATGACATGACGTCATAGATTTCGTGACGTCATCATAAAATTATATAATGTAAGAAGATTACAAATGAAAGGCTTTCCTTTGAAGTCTTTGAAGATTGATATAAAAAGAATATGTCGTCCCTAGCCATTTCAATTATAAGCTAAATATATATGGCATTACGATTCACAAAGAGAAAGTTACTAACGTAACAATTACATTTTTTGGTATAAAATGGGTAATTGGACAAGTACTGGTGCAAGACATTGTGTAGCCTAAATAATGAGAGGACCAGTATTCCAAAAATTGTTGTTCTTAATTTCTTAACTCCGACTCCTGCGATTGACATGTACGTAAAAAACTAGGGAAATTACGATTATGTAGAAACTAAAATAGGTGGAAATTTTATGGGACACGATAAAAGGCGAGGATAAGTGAACATAAAATAAACTTAATTAGCACACCTTGTGAAACAGCAACATCACAGAAAAATCCAGTCAAAACATCACCGCAATCACAATAATTCTGATCCTGATACACCTTACATGGCTTGTTGCCACATTGAACATCGCTTGTACAGCTTATTGATTCGGAACAGTCAGATCCGATATAATTCTCGGGGCAACTACATCTGCTTTCTCCGCTAGCATCTGTCAAACATGTACCACCGTTAAGGCAGGACTCCGATGTACAGGTCGCTGATGTTGGAGCTGAAGTAAAGGTAGTAAAAATTCATGAAGAAACAATTGTTTATAGCCTAGTAGTGCTGTGTGCCTGCTACAGCACTGGGTTTGGCTCGAGATCCAGCCATGGGGAGTTGCAGTACTTTAGATAACCCATGTCCGGCTGGGAACGGTCAGAATGGCAGGGAATGTGATAATTTCGAAGAATTAATATATCGTTGGTTACAAAAAATGGCAAAATTAAATTTTTTGAAAGTATACATATAATCTGAAGTCATATCTGTTGTATCAAACCATTTCACAATTTGCAGCTACTGCATATGGCAGTAAGTCATTACAGTATATGTCTGTGATCTAGCAATCTTGTCACAGAAAAAGAAACACCGCAAACATCATGATTTGATAAGCTGCGTGCATCACGTCCAGGGAAATTTACCTACGGGCAGGTAAACACAAGAAATATGGGACGGATTTCATCAAATTTTCATTAAATCTCAGGGAACGTCTGAAAAACACAACTTGTGATGTCAACTGGTTTTCCTGAATAAATACTATTACCAATCAATCAGTGGCGATGATTAATATGGTCACTTCTTCATTACGGCCACTTAGTTTTGTCCAAAATGCCAAAACAATGCATTCTTTAACCCTCATAAACCTTGTGGCAAAATCATGTCAGCCATAATATGTCACGTGGAGTGACTTTATATCTGATAAAACACATGTGGCATTATATAATTGTTCATCTTAATTAGCATGATTATACTATGGTTCATCCTAATTAGTATTCTTTTGTAGTCGTATTTTAAGCTATTCAAAACACTCGTTGTCGTGTTTTATCAGATATATAACGCTTGGAGGAGGGTATAATAGATGGGG